TTTTAATTTATGACTGGTTTGGTAGTGGTAAGGCGCCTTCTTCCTAAATTTAAAAATCCGGGTAAGAATTTATTTTTATTTCTTTTTCAATGAGAAGTGCATTTATATATTTTTTTATTTTTAGGAAAATCATGATTTTCCTAAAAATAAAAAAATATATAATAATATAAATGTTAGCGAAAGGGTACTTAAGAGCATACCAAGGGCGAGAGAAGATAAACAAATGAGAGCCTACGTAGACACATTAGTTTTAACGGCAGTCTGCCTGACACTTTGAAAACGATCGGTTGATATTGTGAGAGTAAAGTTTTGAATAAAGACTTATAGTACTAAATAAATTAGTTTAAATTATTTAAATAACATTATTGTTATTTATTTATAACATCAGAAGTGGGATAGTGATCTGTGCAGTGACCTACAGAAATGGATGAAATTAGTGTAAACACAATTGTGTCGGAAGTGGTGAATTCTGACGATGGTGATGCTTCGCCAAGTTCCAGACCCATCAAGGAACAATGGCAAGAAAGGTTAGAAAACATGGTAGTTTCGCAACAGCTACAGATTGCGGAGTTATTAAAATTCGCCAAACTACAGACATCGGCGTCCTCCGTGCCAACGCCCTTCTTTGTCTCTACAGACGGAGCCAGTGCGCAAGCGCCAGCAGAATCAACGCCCTGTTTAGTCACAGAAGACGGATCAAATGCGCAAGCGTCAGGAATGCTAACGCCAAGTTTGATCTCACCTGGTGAACAAAGGACGCAGGTGTCAACATCGGGACAGGGCAACATAAAATTCAAGCTCACCAGCTATGACCCTGATAACAGTGCATACGCAATCAACGAATGGTTGGAGGACGCAAGAAAACTGAAGGAGGAACAGGATGTCAGCGATAATTTAATGATTGCAAAGGCGAGCGATGCGCTGAAGAATCGCGGTTATCGGTACTGCTGTAACTGGAGACCTTTACGGCGATCCTGGGAAAACTTTTGTTCCGACCTTATCACTGCTTTTCCCGACAAAGAGACACCAGGTGCCCGAGCGTTTAAAGCTTCGACACTACGAAGTAAAGAGTGCGACTCTTTGTGTGATTATGGACACCAAAAGCAGCATACAGCGATTCTACGATAAATTACCGTGGAATAAGGTTCTAAGTATGGTTGAGTACGGATTGGACCATGCTGAAGCACGTGCATCGCTGCACATACAGAAGCCGGACTCTGAACGTGAGCTTATGTTAAGATTAAGTGAGTTTGACGCACGCCGGCCACCAAAAGGGTCGTGGATCTTAGGGCGTGATGGAGCGCACAAGAGAGAGACAGACGTTGACAGACGCGGGTCAGATAGCGGTAGACCCAACAAAATGTTAAAACATTCATGTTTTAAATGTGGCCGTCACGGAAATCTGCAACACGAATGCCGAAGCAGAACATCTAAAGAAGTAGAACAGGATAGGCCGAATAGTTCCAAGACCCCGACGTATCAATTATAAAATATTCGGCAGTAAAAACAATAAACGGTACGATCAAACCAATCGAAAAAGTGCGAGCTTTTTCGGGATTAGGGACACGACTTGTGTACGCTATAGGTGTGTGTGACGTCAGCTGTAACTTTAGAGATTAATTATTATATTGTACCAGATGGTTCCATCCCTAAAGGCATTGACATAATTATCGGGTGGGACGTTATAGGTAGACCTTGTTTAAAAATTGTGAAAAGTGTAAGCGGTATCGAATTACAACATACCCCTGTCAACATTCCATCAATTTTAACTGTTAAAAATGCGCACAGTGTTAAGTTAAATCAAACAGAGTTGGACGACGAACTACTGTGGCTGTCGAAGATTCCCAGGTAGCCGGAGGAGGAAAATTGAAAGCGAAATATAAAGGGCCATATACAATACGATGCCTACTACCCAACGAGAGATTTGTGTTGCACAAACAAGGACGACGAACTACTGTGGCCGCTCACGATCAGTTAAGACGATGGACATCAACTGAATAAAAGTACGTATTCGAATTGTAATAAAATTAGTGGCAATACCACAATTAAGTTGAAAATTAGTGGCAATCCCACAATTTAAAACAAAAATGGAGCTGTGGAGATCCCACAATTTAGTTAAAAATATTGTGGCAACCCCACACTATTGTTTAAATTTCGAGTATGTTAATAAAATTGTGGCATCCCTACCAGTTAGTTAAAATTATGCCAATTTAATAGTTGAATTAAAAATATAGTGACAACCCCATAATTAAGTTGAAAATATTGTGGCAACCCCACATTATTGTTGAAATTATGGCAACCCCATAATTGAGTTTAAAATATTGTGGCAACCCCGCATTAATGTTGAAATTATGGCAACCCCATAATTAAGTTGAAAATATTGTGGCAACCCCACATTATTGTTGAAATTATGGCAACCCCATAATTGAGTTGAAAATATTGTGGCAACCCCACATTTTTGTTGAAATTATGGCAACCCCATAATTAAGTTGAAAATATTGTGGCAATCCCACATTATTGTTGAAATTATGGCAACCCCATAATTAAGTTGAAAATATTGTGGCAACCCCACATTATTGTTGAAATTATGGCAACCCCATAATTGAGTTAAAAATATTTTGGCAACCCCACATTATTGTTGAAATTATGGCAACCCCATAATTGAGTTGAAAATATTGTGGCAACCCCACATTATTGTTGAAATTATGGCAACCCCATAATTGAGTTGAAAATATTGTGGCAACCCCACATTATTGTTGAAATTATGGCAACCCCATAATTGAGTTGAAAGTATTGTGGCAACCCCACATTATTGTTGAAATTATGGCAACCCCATAATTGAGTTAAAAATATTTTGGCAACCCCACAGCGTATAACAAAAACGTAGTTTATGTTCTTGTATATCTCGTAAGATGTTGATTCTTCCTTTTTGTATTTTTTTAGAATTGTAACTTCTACCCCGCTCGTAGAGTTCAGTTTTCTGTGGTTTCCTGAACTCCTAGGCAAATGCTACGAGTGTGTACAAGTCGGCCACAGACGCAAAAGGAGGTTCACCTCTTAAGACTGCAACCGTACAAATTGCATGAGAACAGTTTGCCGTTTTGTGATGGTGTGTGATGGTCAGTAGTGCGGTGCGAGGACGCTCCGATAACAGGATGGCCGTGTTAGCGAAAGGGTACTTAAGAGCATACCAAGGGCGAGAGAAGATAAACAAATGAGAGCCTACGTAGACACATTAGTTTTAACGGCAGTCTGCCTGACACTTTGAAAACGATCGGTTGATATTGTGAGAGTAAAGTTTTGAATAAAGACTTATAGTACTAAATAAATTAGTTTAAATTATTTAAATAACATTATTGTTATTTATTTATAACATATATATATTGCAAGAGGCGTCATCTCTATTTTGTTTATTTAAAAAAAATAATTTTTTTGTTTGTTTATTTTTAAAAAATTATTTTTTTTGTTTTTCAAGATTTTTATTACATACCCTAATATAATAACAATATGTTATGGATATCCATTTTCGGGTTTTTTAATATACATAATATATACCATGGATATATTATGGACATTCAGGAATATACATCATGGATATACTATGGATGTCCATTAGGGTGGGCCGAAAATCCGCTTTTTTAGAATTTCGTTTAGTAATAGCAAAAATTTTGTTCATTATGTTGTAAAAAAAAAAATGTGTAAAGATTAAAATTTTCGATCAACATCCTAGGCTCGCCCAACGCAATTAAAGATCAAAATGTTCAAAAAAAAATTTTTCTTAACTTATTTTGATCGGAAATTTTATGCTCTACACAAAATTACTTCAGATGGATAGTTTCAGAAATTTGTTGTAAAAAAAAATTGTGTAAAAGATTAAAATTTTCGATCATCATCCTAGGCTCGCCCAACGCGTTGCAACGCAACTAAAGATCAAAATGTTAAAAAAAAAATTTTCCTAACTTATTTCGATCGGAAATTTTATGCTCTACAAAAAAGGTCCTTACACAAAATTACTTCAGATGGATAGTTTCAGAAATAAACCCGATTTTAGTATCAACATTTTTTGAACATTTTGATCTTTAATTGCGTTGGGCGAGCCTAGGATGTTGATCGAAAAATTTAATCTTTTACACAAAATTTGTTTACAACATAATAAACAAAATTTTTGCTATTACTAAACGAAATTCTAAAAAAGCGGATTTTCGGCCCACCCTAATGTCCATATTACGAGTTTTTTAATGTACTTGATATATGTCATGGATATATTATGGACATCCAGGAATATACATAAGATATACGTCATGGATATACTATGGATATCCAAATAGAGGACAAAATCATATTTTATGGATATCCATGGTATATCCATACGATATTCGCGAATATACGAATATGCATAGATGTATATCCTATGTATATCCTATGTATATTTTCTTGTTATGTGGGTAGGTACTGCTCATTTTTACCTGGGTAATGTGGAAACCTGCTGAAGGAATAAATAAAAATCCCACCTTATCCCGCACTTTTTGTATTCTAGTTAGATTTGAAAATTCTTCTCGAGAAAGAACATGTTTTTAAATAATATATTTTTATTATTTAGATTCTGAAGTGCAGTTATTTTTCATATATGATTTTATATGGCATTTCCAACAGGGTAGTTGATCAAAAAAAAATATTTTTTCTTGAATAAATAAATCCGTCCGCAAAGAGCTAAGCACTGCATTTCTCTTGCAAAGTAAATCCAGTATTGACGGTATAAATGGAGTAGATGTGGCCATACCAAACAATAATTTTAACCAATGCTTTCCATTTTTCTCGTTTTGATATCACCTTTAAAATATTTTTTTTTTACCTACACATGAATTTCGTATGGATCGTATGACATTTTTATTCTGTCCTGAGAAATTTCTTCCAACTCCTCATCAAGTTAATAACATTAACGCTCATCATAGCCCCTGCTTATCGCTTTATCAAATTCCCAATAAAAAAATTACGTCAAGTATCTTAAATAAATTTTATTTGATTCGATATATACACAATAAATATTTGGCTTAAAATTAAAATAAATTATTTAAAAGCTTAAAATTAGACACGATGACTAGGATTTGACGATAATTAGAAGAAAAATCAGTAGAATGGTGGTAGCGGCAAGTACGAGGATGGCGCACATTTTTCTGTTCTTCCGTTGATATGCATCGGCCTTTTGTAACTGCTTGAAGCCCTCATAAACTTGAATCTGCGTTTGCTCTATATTGTAGTCGATGCGATCTAATACTGTTCCTTGGTCCGCCACCATTTGGCTCAAATCTTTAAAGATCTCGTTCAAGTCCACGATCGACTTGACGATAGCGTTGACTTCTTGCTCTCTCTCGTGAGCGAAACGCGTGTTTTCTTCTTCCAGCATTAACAGTTGCTGTTGGGTCATTTGTTTCGAGTTCACGAAGTAACTGTCGATTTCCTGGGACTCTTGATTGTAAAAATCGTCCATTTCTATCTGATTGTCGAAGTATATTTTCGAGCGATCTTCCCTCGACTGGATCTGCCTCAAGTAACTGCTCTGTGTTGATCGGAATGTGGTGGATAGCTCTTGCAAAGCTGATGCTAATGAGTGGTAAACGTTTACTGTAAGTCTTTGTTCTTTTGGAATGCCTGAAATTTAAAATCACGATAGTTCAGCAGACAATTATACAGACTGTATAGAATCAAGTAAGTAAGGCTGGAGACAAGGATGACAAATTATATTCTGATCAGAGAAAAAGAAACAAACTTTAATTGGGCGTGGTTTAAACCAAGCCATTCGTAATTACGAACCATATATAGTTGCCAGGTTGTTTTAAATCAGAAGAGAACGATTATAATTATTTAATAAATAGTTCAATTTTATTTGTTTGAAACTTTAAAAATAACAAAAAAATTAATAATATATCAAAAATAATTTGATTTAGTTAATTTTCTTACTTTTAATATTAAAAAATAAGAAAAACAACCCTTTTAGGAAACAATAACAGCATATGGCAACAGAGCGCCTTGCAGCCAGATACAAGGGCATGCAGTGGGCGGGGTTTGGCACTTGTTTTATTCAATTTTATGTTTGAAACTTTAAAAATAACAAAAAAATTAATAATATGTCAAAAATAATTTGATTTAGTTAATTTTCTTACTTTTAATATTAAAAAATAAGAAAAACAACCCTTCTAGGAAACAATAATAGCATATGGCAACAGCGCGGCATGCACCCAGATACAAGGGCATGCAGTGGGCGGGGTTTGGCACTTGTTTTATTTAAGTGTATCTATTCGTTTTAATACACACTGTAGACTTAAAACTATTTAACATTTTATTTAGGATAGTATGATTAAACAGGATTTTTTTTATTTAAAATCATAGCGAATTGTTAAGGCGTCATTGGTCTTCCGAAATATAAATTTAAACTTGTCATGTTTTAAATTAACGCGAAAAACGAAAAGGCGGCGTAAAGATAGGTATCCATGTTTGTGATTGGTGCAGAGAGAGAGAGTGAAACACAATGTTGACAGTTGCTTCATTGTCGTGGAGTATACACTTTGTTTTTACCTGTGTGGCAATGAGGGAAGTAAACATAGATAGATAATTATATATCACGGTGCTGTTCTGAGAGGTGATTTTTGAACTTTCTGTGAAACCTAATTTTTTTTTATATTCTTGTTAATTAGGTCATAACTAAGAATTTAAGAGCAAAATAAAAAAAACTGACGGTTTGAATTGTTTTAATTGGCTGTTTATTAAAAATATTATCCACTCTTTCAAAGATCCAATTAAAACTAGCGATTTAATTTAAATATTTAATATTTGCATAACTAAAAAAAGGTTTTTACAATTTTTTTTATATATATTTTACTGTTTTGTTGCAATAAACGTTCAAACTTTTAATCTAACCTTTGACGTATACATTTATGTTCCCTTAATTAATATATCCTTAAAGGTTGCCATATGGAACTTAGATCTATTAAAAATTTATTTGACGTTTGAATTGTCATTTTCAGTATACGTATTCTATAATTTTTGTTCTATCAGAATCGCAAGTTTTAATTGGAGAATTGAAAGTGTGCATACATATTTTAAATAAACATCCAATTAAAACAAAATTAACCGTCAAATTTTTTTTATTTTGCTCTTAAAATTTTAGTTAACAAGAATATAAAAAAAATTTAGGTTTCACAGAAAGTCCAAAAATCATCTCTCAGAACAGCACCGTGATATATACAGTAGTGGCCATAATTAGAGCAACCACTGTATTATGTGATTATTTTGCTGAAAAGTGGTCATTTTTGACGACTTTGAATCGCTGTATCTTCGTTACTGTTCATTTGATTTGTACAAAATTTTCAGAGTATACTAACCAAAATACGGTCTTTAACAGCAATTTTTTATTTACTTGAAAAAAAATCCCTAAAAGTTATTTTTCGAACGTTTTTTTAATTTAAAAAAAATGGGCTTTAAAAATATTTTCTCAAAAAATCCTCAAACACATAAACTGAGATACAAGTTGAAGTATTTTTATCCAAAATTTCTTAAAGATTAATAAAGGCGTTTTGGAGTTAGATTTTTTTTACAGTGGTTGCTCTAATTATGGCCACTACTGTATATAAATTAAAATAAGCGTTTTTGTCATTATACTAACATTTTTATATTATAAACAGATGTTTAAACATGCATTATTTCATCAAGTTTTGCATTTTTAGTTTGATTTGAAAAGAATTGTTTCTTGTTTTATGAGATTTGTATAACCTTTGATATAGAATAACAGAAAATTTATCTTTAAAGTACCGTAAAACGGGGTTACTTTGCACTTTGATGGGTAACTTTGCACCACTGCTGTAAAAGTATATATAAATATAATAATATATATAATAATAATTTGTAAATTTTATTCATTTTAAGGTTTTGTTTTTGGAATCTTTTTTTAAAATAAACCCCTTTTAATATTGGTTTTAATTTAATAAAACTGGTGCAAAGTTACCCATCAAAGTGCAAAGTAACCCCGTTTTACGGTACCTACACCCTAGCAAATGCAAAATGATTATAGAAAACCTCAAATGTCTCTTGAATGTTTAATATTTATTTCTTCATAATTATGATTCCAAAAACATGTTAGTATTAACTAAATCTAATTACACCTACCATCTAAAGAATGGCTCTTAATGATTTGCACGAGCCTGTGGCATTCATTGAACATCCTTGTGATTTCGTGTATGCAATTTTCAATTGCAATTTCATCATCTGAACTTTCGTCAAAAGTGGGCTTGTGCAAATGCCGGGAATGTAGTACTTTTAAGTCGTTTATTTTAGCTTTTAATTTTGGTAAAATCATTTGGGCTTTTTCCAAATAATCTATCCATATTGGAGGCATTCGGTTGTCATTTCTGTCTATCATACCCTCCTCCATATCATTCAAAGACACCAGATGCATCCGTTCTGAGTCTTCCTGTAGATAAATATGCCGATATTATTAATTTGATAGGAAAATAACATTTTATAACCTAAAAACATACCTGGTCCGGATAAATATGCCTACTTCGTATAGCATTGTTCCGCATTAGCAGAAACACATCTGTTAATGTTCTAGATGCCATTTCTAATTATCTAAATTAAAGTATTTCAAAATAATCAACCAAGAATTTTTGTTCATGACATATTGCTGTTTATCTGTAAGGTACCTTAGCCACTTTTATTTTGACAGAAATACGTTGTTCGGACTGAGAGAAAATGGAAAGTGTGCATTAGGGTAGAATCTTCACCATATACATATGTCTTAACTTAAGACTCTTAAGAGATATAAATGTAATTGTGCGAATTGTATTAGTTGTCAATTAATTAACAATTAATGATGTGAATTTTAAATTTTCTTTGCCTTTTCAGTATCTCGAAATCTTATACCCAAGCAACAATTTAAGTATTTGTTACGTATATGGGACTATTGAAGGAACTTAAAAGTATTTTGCGACAGTCGCCGGGCTCCTTATATTACTCTTTCATTACTAAGTTACGACTAAAGTGGGGAACAATTATTGAGTTCCAAAAAGGTAACAAATATGTCACTAGCTAATAGCTAGTAGCTATAAACCCTGCTACTATTTGGAACGTAGCTTCTACGTTACTAAAACGTTCCAATATCGTTGCTAGAGCGTTATAATTACTTTTATTAAATTGTCTTTACTTCTATATTAACTGCAGACATGTCTTAGTCAAACTTATATTAGATTATACTATCCCTCCTTTTTTAAATGGAACCACTACGGACTTGGCTTTTTAATGTCGTCGTTTATTAAATATGTATTGGTAGTTTATAACTTCCAGAATAACAATATAATGTTTAGTTAGGCAGGTACATTTATAAACCCTTTAAATTTTACTGCTGAACTTATGAATTTAGTTTTTGTAAAATAAATGCGATTCATCTATATTTAAGTATAAACACATTATTTAATTAATAATGTTTATAAATAAAAAAATCCTAATATTTATTATTAATTTTTTTATTTAATTATTAATACCGTCTATTACCAACAAAATTACTATTTATTAAAAAGTAAACAACCATTTACAAACATTTAAAATAATTTATTATTTACATTACCACGTGGTACTGTACAGTAAAAAATGGCCGATAAGAAGCATTTTCCTTTGAAGTAGTTTTCGCTACTTTATAAAGTTTTTTTCCACCTTAATTTACTTTACGGTACCTAGTTTTGTTTAGTACCATAAACGTTCCAAATACTAATAACTTTTAAGTTATTAACTTTGTAGTTTTTAATTAACTCATGTTCCAGTTTCGAGATTTTAACTTGCAAAGGGACTACAAAGTAAAAATAATTATAATGTAATCTTTATATATGGCTATATAGCAGTGTAGATTCTACCCTATAGCTACAAACTGCTACATGACATGTACATTGTAGCTATAGCTATATATATATTATAATATAGTATATTAATTGTAATTATTATTATAATCCACCTTCCTTTATTTATAGGTACTTATAAATATAATTATATGTATATTTTAGCATTAAAAATTAACATAAAAAAATCAAGACTATCCACATACAAGTTAGCTGACATTAAACATATAATAAAATAAACAGATACGTTAATTAAATATGAAATCCATTTTTTCTTGTAATTTACCAAGATTTCAATTAATTACAATAAAAAAAAATATATGGTGTTTCTCTAGTGTACTCTAATAAAATTATTGGATAACAAACAAACCTAAGACGTTACTTTAGACACGCAAAAATCTTTTGTTTGCGATGACACATGTCATTTTAAAAATAATTCTTATGTTCAAGGAAAAATGATTTCGTTTCGAATTGTATTATTAATTTAAGCGTAAATATAACTTAATTTTAAATGGGCTGCCCTCATTATTGTGTAATCCAAGAATGTTAAAACAGAAATAAGTGATAAACTGTGTAAATATTTAGCATACTTTCATAAAGAAATGTGAAAATTATATTATATTCGTGCCAAATGACCAAAGTATCTAGTCCGATGACTATTTTATATCAGACTAAAATGCGTGATATCGACAGGGATGAGTTAGATCGGATACCCTCAAAAGACAGAGCCACATATTTGGATATATCAGGCTTTGTTATTTCGATTGTTAGTCACCTTATTGATGTAATACTGGACTTGAATTTAGCATACAGATACTACGAATCTGCAAATGTGGGAAACTTTGTTACAACAATGGGTTTTATTCTTATTCCCGCCATGATAAACACAGCTTTCAGTGTTAGGATGTACGTGTTGGACAGTGAAAACAAAAATAGGCACAGTACTTTAACCAAAAAGTTAACAAAACAAAGCATCTGCTATGTTATTGTTTTAATTTTCCAGCTGGCACCAGTTTTAAGGTATTTTGATGCCCTTAAGTATTCATGGAAATCAAAGCAAGCCGAAAAGAACAAAGATCCAGAGAATCAAAGGAAATACTATGAACTTATGGTTAAAGAGGATTCCGATGTGGCCTTGTTGAGAGTTTTGGAGTGCTTTTTGGAGGCTGCTCCACAGCAAATACTCCAATTGAGTATCATATTTACAAGTCATGGAATGGGAAAATTAAGTACCCTCAACAGTAAGTTTATAAAGTTTTTCTGTGATATTATTTAATAATTTGAATAATTTTAGTTGTCCATCAATACCTCTCCATTGGGAGTAGTTTTGTAAGTATGGCTTGGTCAATGGCTTCATACCAAAGACTTTTAAGAGTTTCTCTTAAGAATAAAAGCAACATTTCATGGAAAGGAACAGTGGTGCAGTTTTTATGGCATGTCCTTGTCACAGGTAAGTAATTTTTAGAGAAAGAAATGTTTTTAATTTTTTAAAACAGTTTAAACAAATTAAAAACCGATTTTCAAGATTAAAAATAGACAAATTTACAAAAATTAAAAAATGTACTATGTGTATATTTATATTTATTAATATTATTTATTTATTTGTTTATTATATTTATATTTTTTATGTAGTTTATTTTCATTGACTTTATCTAATCTTATTGTTTGCAAACAAGTAGGTGTTTATCCTTGTTTATTACCACCAAAATTAAAAATTTGGGAAATAAGAAAATCAACTTGATTAAATAAAATAAAAAAATAGTTTTTCACAAGGTTTTTTTTATTAACTTTATCTAATCTTATTGTTTGCAAATATAATTATTTCTCCTTTATCAGTGGTAAAATAAACACATTAAAATCAAGAAATATAGAAAATAAAGGTTTGTGGGTTTGATAAATAGAATACCACAAACACATGGGTATTCAGAAAATATATGACGCAACATAAATAATATTTTTTAATGACTATGACATAATAATACCCAACTTTTATATTGTGTCATTGTTATATTATTTTTTTAACTTGTTTTTAAAAACAATGATGAAACTTATATAAAGGGGTCCCGAAAACGGCTGCTAAAGGAGAATATTTTGAGTTTAAAAATACACTGCGCAAAATTAACGCATAAGTAAAAAAAATCTAACTCTAAAACGCCTTTACCAATTTATGAAATTTTGTATAAAAATACTTCAACTTATATCTCAGTTTACGTTTTGGAGGGTTTTTCGAGAAAATATTTTTAAAGCCCTTTTATTTAATAATAAAGAAACGTTCTAAAAATAACTTGGGATTTTTCTTAAGTAAATAAAAAATATGCTGTATTTTTGGTAGTATAATTCGTTGGATTTGTACAAAATTTTCAGGGTATACTAACTAAAATACGGTCTTTCACAGCAAATTTTTTATTTACTTTTAAAAAAAATTCCCCATAAAAATTTTTTTTCCAGCGTTTTTTATATAATAAAAGGGCTTTAAGGATATTTTCTCGAAAAACCCTTTAACACGTAAACTGAGATATAACTTAAAGTATTTTTATCCAAAATTTTATAAAGATTGGTAAAGGGATTGGTAGAGATTTGGATTTTGTTTACTTGCTATGCGTTAATTTTGACGCATTTATTTGTTTATTATATTTATATTTTTTAGTGCTTTATTTTCATTGACTTTATCTACTCTTATTGTTTGCAAACAAGTATTTATCCTTGTTTATTACCAGCAAAATTAACACCTTGGGAAATAGGAAAATCAACTTGATTAAATAAAATAAAAAAATAGTTTTTCTCATGGTTTATTTTTATTAATTTTATCTATTCTCATTGTTTGCAAACAATTATTTTTCCTTCTTAATCCGTAGTAAAATAAATACATTAAATCAAGAAATATAGAAAATAAAGGTTTGATAAATAGTATACCACAAACACATAGGTATTTAGAGAATATGTGTTAGCTACATAATAAATATTACTTTTTAAGGATTATGACATAATCAAACAAACTTTTATATTTATACCTATGTTTATTATTTTTGTGACTTCTTTTTAAAAAAAATGATGAAACTTATTAACCCTGATAGCAAAATTTGATTTTAAGAATCTTCTAAGAAGATATGACCCGGAATAATAGAATATTCTTAGAACCTTCCCTTATTGCTAAGAATGTTCTTAGGGACTTTTAAAACATTTAATAGATACCCTTTTAATGATGCAATTAGATTATTAAAAGCTTCTTAAAACCTTCCTAGCATCCTAAGAACTTTAAGAATACGTTTTTGGAATGTTCTTAGAAGGTTTCTTATGGAGCTTCCAGGAAGCTTTTGAGAATATTTCCAAATATGTCAGATACCCACGTTCTAATATGTTGTATTCTACATTCGTAAAATTCTTCAGGAGACGACAAATACGCTTCACTGTCATAATATGACAGTGAAATGTATTTTGTGGGATAGATTAGATTGAAGTTGAAGATAGTTAGGATTATTATACATAAAAATGTTAATTCAGAAATAAAAAGTCGATATACAAATTAATAAATATTTATTTTTAACATAAAATAAAATACCTATAGTAAAAGTATTTTTGTTATCGAATATTGTTTTAATTTGACAAATAACTATAAAAAAATATTTTGGATTGTATTTTTTACTTAGTATTTAATACTAATTACTAATTAGTTACTTTTTACTATTTACTATTTTACTATAGTAATAATAATATATTATATAGGTAACTGAACTAAATATGCTTAGCAGGAATATTCCTAAATGAACTTTCTATAGCAATTACTTTCTTAACATTCTAAGCATATGTTTAGAGTAGACTAATTTTTACTACACTAAAACTTTGCACCTTCTAAGAACCTGCCTATAGGCCAGTAAGAATATTCTTAGGATCATGCTATATGTCTTTTAAGCATGTTCTTTAGAAGAAATATAGCATGATCCTAAGAATATTCTCACTGGAAGGTTTAAAAAACATTCTTAGAATAAAGTGTGCTATCAGGGAAGGCGAAAAGGGCGAAAACTCCCTACCATATGCTAGAGGAGGATATTTAGTTTAAAAATAAATTAAAAATTTAAGTAGTTTTTGTTAAAATATGAGAAATTATACATTTTGTATTTGGCGGGCAATTCAATTATTCCAGCAACCCGCAAAGAACAAAATAAAATACTTAAGACTGTTATAAGCTAAAGAAACATTAATTGTAATTAAATATAATTTAACTAAATCGTTGCATTTTCATGTTTTGCCAAATTTACGTAGAATTAACTAATGATAACTGCTGAGTTATGACGCCACTAGCGAAGCTTCTTTAGCGTATAAATTTTATTCTCCGAATTGTTCAATTTAATTGGAATCTACAGTTTTATTAGGTTATGGGCCCAAAAAACGCGGAAAGTAATTGATTGTTTTGGTGAAATTTGTCACTAAAATGTTGCGATTTGTATTACATTTTTTTTTCAGTTTCAAGAATACTTTGCATCAGCGTTATGGCATCGGTGTACCCAGTTTCCACAATCGCAGTACTAATGATCCATTGGTTTGTGATGACGTTTTGGCTCTCTACAAGTCAACCGAACAACTTTTGCGGGCACAACAGGTTCTATGATTTCCTATTTTTCTCGATATTCGGGGCGGTCAACATTTTCACTCACGTCGTATTAGTCGACGGTCCAACGTGCTGCAAGTACACTCTGTTCTACTTGGTGCTTTTTTGCGAAAACATGGCGGCCACTGTCGTTTGGGTGATCAGTGCCGATGACGACTTAAAACAAACCATGTACTTTAAGCCGATCATCTATGCAAACGTCATACCGTTTTTGATAGGCATTATTTTTATGATTCTATACTACAAGTGCTTCCATCCGAGTACTGTATACAGAACACAACCGGTCGAAAACGGCACCAGCTAACAAACTGCAGTATTTCGCTGCTTTTGCGAGTTAACTTAATATTTAGATGAATCTCATCGAATGCAAAAATAGTTTTTTTTTTCATTAACAGCAAGGGGACATTCTACTGTTTGTTAATCTTTAAAATAAGGAAGAAGCAATTTTATCCCTACACAGAAAATAATTTTTTATACCAACAACGTCTTCAGTCTTTATTTTGATATATTGTAATTATTTTAAAACTAATATTACCTACCTACACCTTTAAAACACAGCTGACACAATTTTTTTAAAGCGTTTCCATAAAATTTGTATCATGCCTTCTCTGATTATTAATTTGTACAAAAACTGTTTCGCATTTTTGTGTAAAATTTGGCTCGAAAATGTATACAAAATTTATGAATTTGAAAATACGCAAATTCTTATTTTTAATAGTTAATTGTTAATTTGACAATAAAAAACATTTGGGCCAGGTATCTTAACCACTAGACCATGCAGGTTATATTTTATTCTAAACAAACTTTTTACTAAGGCGGGCTTGGAATGTCTGAGCAAAATTCCGCGCGCGTTTTCAATGACATAATAACAATACATTTTAAGGTTTATATTATTTCTCGTTATACATTTTCTGTCAATATTTTAGCAGAACTTGATAAAAAATTGTAAACATTTATAATGCAAATTTAGTGCAAATGCGTTTTCATGCAAGATTTGTTTCAAGGGAAGCATAACCTAAAATTTAATTAATAAATAATTTTAACTTACTTAATGCTAACAGTTATCGCGATTTAAAAAAATGGCCTTCAAACTTAAAGCTTATCACATAAAGCCTCACTAAATAACTATTTTCTACTCTCACCTTTAAAACGCCCATTATCGTACATGTTTCCATGACACTAAGTGACCTTTTAAATACACTTTTACAAGTTGTGACTTTATGGCGTTTTAGTCACGGGCTGAAGTTAGCAACAGGTTTTTAGTCACGGGCTGAAGTTAGTTTTAAGTTAGTTGACAGTTGTCAAATGTCATACAATCATCTTGTAAAATAATACTGAATGAAAAAATTATTTTATTTTAATACAAAAATGCAAAAGTATTAAATAGTTTCTCAACGCCAATATTTAAAAAGTTTATGTGAATATTGTACTGACCATAAATCATCCTCTTTACTTTTACTTTAAAAAACTAACTGCTTCTATATCGGATTTAAACGGTTGTTAGTTCATTTTCAAGGGATAAATTTCGATTTACACAGAAAAATTTGACATAATACAGATTCCAATTCTTACGGTTACTCTATTTTTTATAGATGTCGCTCTATACAAAAATTCAGTATAAATCATTTTTAGATACTAATAAGTATTAGTTGTAGAAAAAGTATAAAGTTTTTTAGACACTCAGTTAATTAAACACTCGCTCGAAAGCTCGCTCGTTCCTAATTTAAATTCGTGACTACAATGGCGTTTATCAAACTTGTTTTATAATATACTATTTAGTTTTAAGTATTGGTTTGTGCAAAATTAAAGGTGTGGGTGTAGCCAAAACTAGTTAAAAAAACTGAAAACGATGGTATAAGCGATGATTGGAAAAAGTCAAAAATTCTAAAATTAAATTTCTGGCGTTAAAAGTTAAAAATCACAATGTTTTAGGAAAGTTTTGACGCGATTACTAAAATTAATTTTAATATTACAATATTTTTGTTTTTTGTACACCTGTTATTTCTTTTCTTATATTATTTTATGGTTTTCCAAGCACATGAAAAATGGCAACATTTACCAATTTATTTTCTAAAAATTAACTTTAAGTAGAATGTCCCATTGACTAATTATATTAAGACCTTAACATTTGGTTTTTGTTCAATTTTTGCGTTTGATTTACTTTGTGTGATATTACCAAAATTAGTTAGAATATTGGAATGTTTTAATACTCTTAAGCTTACTTTTAGTTGAATTATTATTTCGTCACTTTACAAACAGGGTGAAATTAAATTTTAATACTTATGCCATTTTATTTATAAACTAAATTAATTGCTTCCCTTCTAAAATTAGGTTGTAAAAATAAAGACTTGAATATCCGTGCCTTATATTCATTTTTTTACAGAACAATCTGTTTTTGTAAATATTTAATAGTAGATTAACTGATAATTTAAATTTATTGTAAATTGTGATATGCTATTGCATCTTATACAATTAACTTCCCAAGAAAAGTTATTTTTGTATATCATCATAATAGTTTATTTATAGTAGTTTTTAGATTTATTTATTGTTTATAATTAGGTACATAATGTATTTATGAAATTATAAGTAACCAGTGTAAAAATGTATACAGGGTGCAGTAAGTATGCAATGTATGGGTATCTTTTTTTATTTTTGTGCCACAAAAAAATCAGCGTTTCTCAAAATATTTGAAAAAAACTAAAAACCTTCTAAAACAAAAAATTTACATTTTTATCCAATTTTGAGTTACCTCCACCATCTTTTGTTTTTCCTATGGCCGCCATATTGATATTTTACATTGTCAGACAGGAAAAAATTCAAGGATGTATCAAACTGCATAAGTTATTAATTTTTGGTTTTGGAAGGTTTTGAGTTTTTTTCAAATATTTTTCAATTTATAAATAGACTTGTAACTTTTCTCTAATTTAACTGTAGCTCTTTAAATAAAAAAGATACCCATAGAAGTACACTTGGTGCACCCTGTATAGGTGTTTTGTATGACTGGTGATGTGTCAGGTAAAAAAATATTATCTGTGGTTATGGATATGGATTATATCCGTCAATATCCATAGAAAAAAGTAATGAATTAAGCATTATAAAAAAACAAATACAATATACATACATATTTGATAATTGTAGGTTTGTATAAAAAAAATATATTATATATCCAGCACGCCACTGGTTACACATTACACCTATAGAATTTAGCCTTATACTTTTACTTATAGAAGGTGTTCCAGACAAATCTTGTTATTAAAAATAGTTCCTATTAACTTTTTAAAAATATCTGTGTAAAATAACTAAAAAAGGTAAAATTTGAGCATACCTATGTATTATTTTGGAACACCCTGTATAGGTACATAAAATACACACACAAAACATGCTTAAGATGATAAAGCTAACATGTCAAAAAATCTTGCCATCATGACAACTTTTATATTTATTTGAAATATAAAAATTTACCCCAACGCAATTTTAATTTTTGTGCAATGTTTGTTTTAAACTAAAGCCTATGTAACGTTTAAGACTGAATCTTAAATAATATTATGTAGTTTGAATTTATTTACTTGTGGAAAGGCTTATAAAGTAATATAAGTTATAATATTGTTTTCTTAAACAGCATCCCTGGGTTTGGATTTTTCTCAGTTTACCTCACGCCGTGATTTCTCATGCATTTTGCTCATTTATGTATCAGCGTGAGAAAGAAATCATTTCATGAGTTAAGATTCCAACAAAACAATCTTACAACTATGTGAAAAGCCAAAAAGTTGTTGAAAACGTTTTTAGGTATGCAGGAAAATCGTTGGCTTTCAGGAGCCAAAAGTTTTAGTGATCTTCGCGCGCAATTAATCTTTTGACTTGAGCCAATCCGAACTCAAGATTGCTGTGCTAATAGGATCTAAATTTGTACAAATATAAAGTTATTTTTTTTATCTGGACTAAACCTAACAGCAAATAATTTTTAGTTTTGTTTTTTTATTTTGCCCTTATTTTATAAAATTTCATAAATTTTTGATCTGCTTGGCTAAAAATAATGTGTGATTTAATATTTGTAAAACCAAAAACGTTACTTTTTTACTCCAAAAATTTCCATAAGAAGATGTACTTTTTCTGCCATTGAGGCAGTTCTTTTACTTAAAAAAATCTGATATTATTTTTGGCATTGTTATCTTTTTAAATTGATATTTTATAATAATTAAATAAGTAAATTACCAATAATAAATATTACTGTCAATTCGGAAGCAGCATTTTTGGTTCCAAAAACCATTACCAAAGTGCACCATGGTGATAACTTTAAATTAATTAAGTATACTAAACATGCTGCAGCTACTTTAATTTTTAAATATCTAAAAGTAAACTTTTAAATAGCAATATTTTGTAACAGAAACTTCATTCTTTCCTTAAATGGTTACTATAAAGTAATAAACATTTAAGTAAAACTTGGTTGCCCCCAAGAAGACTTTGCAACTTGTTGCAAAAGGTATTATAAGTAAAAAAACTTTCAAGTAAATTTAATTTGTAGCAGTTACTTTCAGTTGCTACCTAAAGATTGCATTATAATTATTTTTACTTTGTAGTCCTTTTGCAAGTTAAAATCTCGAAACTGGAACATGATTTAAAAACTACAAAGTTAATAACTTAAAAGTTATTATTTTAGTATTTCGTTCGGTTATGGTATACTAACCAAAACTACCGTAAAGTAAATTAAGGTGGAAAAAAACTTTAAAGTAGCGAAAACTACTTCAAAGGAAAATGCTTCTTATTGGCCAGTACTGTATACAGTACCAAGTGGTAATGAAAATAATAAATTATTTTAATTGTTCCATTTTTTAAATATTAAAAATACTAAATCAAACTGGCATTAGCAAGGTACCAACTTAATAAAAAAACACGAGTCCAAATAAAAAAAAGAACTGTACTTCTTTTAGGTATAAAAATATAACAACTTTATTGACTGTTTATCATTAATACTTGCATATGTATATTAAAATAATCCCAGAAAGAAAAATAAATTCAATTACTTAAAATTTGATTAAATGAAGTTACCAATTTATGAAATTATTGTCTTTTAAATTAATTATAATATACAGGGTTCATCAAGTATCATAAAACTCGGAAAAAAATAGCGGTTTTCAAATAATTTGAAAAAAACTAAAAACCGGTCAAAACCAAAAATTTTTATTCCTTTGAATATTAAAAAAACTAAGTTTTCCACTTATTTATATTTTAATCCAATTTCTACTATATTTATGGCGGCCATTATAAAAACAAAAGAAAGCGACAAAATATAGTAATTTTTTAGTTTATTGCAAATATTTAAAAAACCACTGGCTTTTATATACCCATGGGATACTTGGTGCACCCTGTATTGTATAATTTTGTGGGTGCAAAAAAAATATTATTAAATAGGCTTGCTGTACACACAAAATATATATATATCTGTATGTGCTCAAATAAAAATATGTTTACATCTTCAAGTTTGTTTTCTTTTTTTAAGGTGAAGTAAATCAAATATTAATAAAATATTGTATTTTTAACTAAAACATAAAAACAGATAAAAAGTTATCATGTATACAATTAATAAATTATTAATATCTCAATAAATAGGTCCATCATCTAGGTTATCATCTTCCTCTTCGTAATCTTCCCCATTATCAAAGTAATTATTGGCATAATCGGTACCATCATCCATTTCTTCATCTTGATCTTCCTCAACAATTTCAGTTTCATCAACATCCTCACTTTCTTTCTCTTGCTTAATTGTTGTGTCGGCACTCTGTTTTTCTTCCAATGTTTCCAGCAATTTTAACCTAACACTTGTTATTAGAACATGTCAAGAATTACATTTATAAATATACATACCTATTATTTACATCCACATCTTTCACAACAACCTTTTTGGCTCTTCTAGCCATCATTTTTGGCCTTAACTCGGAGGGAAACAAAGACCAATCATACTTCTCTTTAGGTACTTGGGGTACTATTTCAGATTCATTCGATTTTGTCTCGGGCAGTTTCAAATATGAACCTGATAATTGCATATGGTCTATGAAGTCCTGTTTCAATATCAACAGGTAATCCAATTCGAGTGATATCTAAAAAATACTACTACTAGAAATAAACACTTCTTTTATAGAGATTATTTACTAAAAACCATACTGTTGAATAAAACTATTTTCTTAATAACCCTGTATATTGGGGACTGTAGCTTAATATACACAATATAAAACTTACATGTATTGGAACAGGTCTTTTATCCAATAAGGGAAACAAAGGAGGGGGCTGGGTGACAAGCCCTGGTAACATATCGTTACCGCCCACCCCGAGTGCATTTAACTGCTCTCGATTGAAGGATTTGGTGACTCCACCGCGTCCGCCGCCTCTTGCACCTCTCCCACGACTCATTGTGCTATTTCTAATTTCTTTAAATCATCAGTTAAACCTGTAACTTCACCCTGTTCTTTTTCAAAAGAATCCTACAACATACGGTGAGAACTAACAACAAAACCTTTTATCGGCACTTACCAGGTCGTAAATAACTTTAATTACCAAAGAACAACTAGGGCAGGTCGCAATTTCTTCGCCAGCTAAAAGTTCTTCCTAAAATAACACCACGAATAATCAAAACATTAACCTCACTTTTTACCTTCGAGATTTGAAATCGGTCTCCGCAAGGACAAGGGTAGTAATAAATTTCTTCCTCTTCGTCGTAATCAAAGTCTTCTATTTCGACTTCGTCGTGAAAAACAGTCATAACGTTTTGTTTTTAAATAATCGCAATTATTGTCAATTTAACCTTAACACGTGCTAAAAGTTCAGCTATTTTATACGAGATGGCATATTACAGGTTTCTACTTTTGATATACGAGGATATCCCAATAAATTAAAATACATAACATGGATGAATATTATATTAATTATTAGGGTTTAATTAGTGTGATTAATTAATGATTGTAACTTAAATTATGATTTTGCAAGAAATTTTAATGTGCAAATTTTCATAAATGTGATAGTAATGGCTAAAATTGCAATTTTGTAATATTTTTTCCAAAACTTGCTATTTTTTTTAAGTAAGTAGGTATTTAACCTTCTTTATCTCTGCAAGTTAGTTTGGGTTACGCGTACGTGAATTGGCTTTAAAGTAAATACACTTCCTTTTTTTCCTTTATATATTTCTTTATATTTTGATATTTCAAAAAAGACCCACTTCTTTTATTCGTACTTTTCTACAATTAATTATCAATCATGGTAATATTTGTTAATTAATATTAAATTAAATTAAATAGACGTGTTTTCACGCTCATTAATGCATATGCAAAATACCACAATTCGATATTGAATACATTATTCATACGTAGTTGAATTTGCGGTTGTATATTAGTACGGATCGCTCAATATAAAGTTTTTTCTTGATGAAAATATCAGTGGCACATCTGAATTTGACGCGGCCGATAATCGTTAATCATGCTCGTTTATGCCGAAATAAATTAATTGCATAAAACTGATAGTTTTGTTGGACACAGTAATGTTCCCCAGATAACATTCGTGAATTCACATTAAACTCACACCGGGCGCACGCCGTGAATCTTCAAAATTGAATGCATCGTGAATTCACCGTGAGTTCACAGATAACATTTGTAATGCACATTTAATTCACATAGGGCGCACGCCGTGAATCTTTAAAAATGAATTCATCGTGAATTCACTGTGAGTTCCCAGATAATATTCTTAATACACATATAATTCATGCCGGGCGCACGCCCTGAATCTTTAAAAATGAATGCATTGTGAATCCACTGTGAGTTTCCAAATTACATTCTTGAATGCACATTAAACTCCTACCGGGCGCACGCCGTGAATCTTCAAAATTGAATGCATCGTGAATCCACTGTGAGTTTCCAAATTACATTCGTAATGCACATTAAATTCACACCGGGCGCACGCCATGAATCTTTAAAATTAAGTGCATCGTGAATTCACCGTAAGTTCACAGATAATGGGTCATCCATTAATTACGTGAGGCAATTTTGGCGATTTTTCGACTCCCCCCTCCCCTTGGGAAAATGCATTGTTTTAATGTAAATAAATTAATCTGTGATTGATTCCATTAGATTTATTAAAAAAAACAATTGTTATAATTGTTTACTTAATTTAACCCAGTTTTCTCGCCATTTTACACTTTCATTTTTTTCAAAAATTACGTGATATTTGCCGAGACCACCCTCCCCCCACGTGAGATTGGGTGGGGTTTGGCTCGACCCCCTCCCCCCCTAAACACCTCACGTAATTAATGGATGCCCCCTAACATTTCTTATGCACATTTAATTCACACCGGACGCACGCCGTGAATACAGATCTGTTAGCACGTTTAATTAAAGATCTTCAAATTTATTTTGATAGGTTAGCTATACCTCTGTTTGATAGGGAAGGTATACCTACCCTATCAAAATAAATTTGAAGACCGAATTCGAAATAAGAAAAAGAAAACATAACATTAAAGGAATATTAATTAAAGATTTTTATTAAATATTAAACGGAAAATAAAAAAGTACATTTTTTAATTAATATCAGTTATTAATATTTAATATACCTATAGGTAATAATAATTATATATAATAGTTGCAAAACCAAATACGCGGGCACTCGTGCGCATGCGCCTATGGCCGTCACATTTCAACTAAATGCAGGGTTGCCGCTTGCAGGTATTTGACCCGAAAATCGCGTATTTCATCATGCTTGCAAGTAAAATATTGAAGCAGGTATTTTATAAATTTTACTTTTCAAAGAAATTTTCAGTAAATAATATTGTATAACTACTAACTAAACATAATTCTTTAATTCTATCCTTTTATTTTTCTCTTAATTTATTCAAAATTTAATTCACTTTTCCAAATTGAGCAAATGTACTAGAAATTTTTACTCGTGTGGGTAATTTTTAGTATTTTGTAATTTTTGGTCGGGAACTTTCACGAAAATCATCCGGCTGCAATCCGGCAACACTGCAGCGTTAGTGTGCGTACGCAGCTAAGAGCCACGGGGTTTTCTATAGAATACCATATATGGTAAACATCTAGCTAGATATCCTGTATACCGGTAAAACGTTCAGTTCATATCCTTTTTCTTTGGTTCAGAGATAAACGTTCAGTTTCAAGGTGTATGTATCTTGGTTCAGTTTTTCAGTTTTATAATATATAGGTATTCAGTTTAATAAATACTTAAGTTGCTAGCCAGGAATTCCAAAGGTAAGTTTGACATTTTTATATTTTAGCATGATCAAATTAAAGATACGAATTTTATTGTATATATACTATAGTAGATCAGTGCACTGATAATAATTGTTACAATTATTGCAAAAACAATGAATAACCATGGTTATAACGCTTTATTGTGGTTATATTTTTTTATAAAGTTTTTATTCATTGTTTTTGTTTTTGAGTCAGATTACGTCAAGTGGACCCCCTATTTTCCATTTGGTAATAGAATTTAAATTGTAATACCTACATCAATCGTTAGTAGTCATTAGTAACAATATTTCCTTAAAATATATTTTTTTTTATTTTAATTTTAACAGTTTTTTTGTAACAAAGATTTTTCTCACTTTTAATTAAAAAATGAATTGTGAAAAAACTGTTAAAAGTTTCGTAGTGAAATTTTAATACAAAATATTTTTATTAGCTATCGCAAGACTTTTCTTTATATATACACAAAAACAAATATTTTTTTTTGTTCTAAGCGTTTTTTAAATAATATTTATTAAATTTTTTAAAATGAGTCTTGTAAATAAATGCTTTAATCCATTAATAATGTTATAATTTATATATTTTTTAAGGACCAAAAAGAAATTAAAATAAGGGGAAAAAATGATGAGTTATTTGACTCATTTGATGATGTGTCCAGTGATGAATCAGTAAGTATACTTATCTGTAGATGTAATTTCATATATGTGATACATAATATATATATTATGTATCACATATATGAAATTACATCTACAGATAAGTATACTTACCCAGTGAACCAAACCGTGACTTATGACCTAAAATTTACGTAACACGTAGATCATATCTAGGTAATACAATTTTTACGTCATAGTGACATAATACTGACCCAAAACGTGACTTTTATATGATGTAATTAAATGACTTACATATTACGTACATCTTATGTAATATTAAAGTCATATCGTGACGTAACATTAAAGTCACTTTTCTTACGTAAGACTGACATAAGAAATCTGTCATAATATTACATAAGTTTTAGGTCACTGTCTTACGTAAGACTGACGTAATAAATCTGTCATAATATTACCTAAGTTTAAGGTCACTTTCTTACGTAAGGCTGACGTAAGAAATACGTCATATTATTACATACATTTTAGGTCACTTTCTTACGTAAGACTGACGTAAGAAATATGTCATACCATTACATAAGTTTAAGGTCACTTTGTAAGGTAAGACTGACATAAGAAATCTGTCATGCATATTATTTAGACGAACTAGATGCAAAAGTAATTTCAAAGTATGAAATTCACTGTATTTTAATGTTTGAATTAAACTAATTTCAATGAATGGACTTTTATTTTCAATTAATGAAATAGGCAAACATAATTTTTATTTTTTATTGATTGAAATGGTTAATTTCAATCCTTGAGTAAAATAACGTAAGTAAATTCTATTAATTGAAATTGACGCCGATCATTTTAAACAATAAAATCAGTGGATACTTTTCCTTACCAATCAGTTTAATTCAAACATTAAAATACAGCAAATTTCATATTTTGAAATTACATTTGCATCTAGCATGATGAAAGAAATAACGCGAAGTTCTTTGAATTTTTTGGCTACTTAGTACTTGGTCGATTAAATGAAAATATGGTTTAAAGTTAATCAAAAAATTATGTATCTTAATTTAATATGTAATACACATCATATAAATTTTTATGATTCCGGTTCCTACTGCTTTATGACGTAAAAAATTTTGAAAATAGCGTCGTACTTTCAAAAGTACACATTTTATTGAATGGTCATGTGAAAAATCATGTAGGTACTCATAATCATGGTTGCATACTTGCAAGTACCAACTTATTTTTTAAATTGTAAAAAATTATCAACAAAAGATTTACGTGTTATTACGTGTTATTTTGTATTGTATGTTACTGTTATTATTTTTTGAAATTTTTTGAAAATGGCGCTTTTGGTGAAAGTGGAATTTTTTTGTTCCACCCTGTACAATCGAAAAAATAAGTAGTTATTCTTTAAAAGACCTGAAATGATATTTCACTCACTCACAAAATTTTTTTAAATGTGTCCTTGGCAGTACGACGTCATTTATTTTTTTTTTAATCCATGCATGTCAAAAAATTTTACCTACCTATTAAAATACTAAAATTTTAAATTTCTAAAATAAAAATAATTTTTAAATGTTCAATATTGTCCCTAGCTATAGGTATAGCTACTCATAAAAAGCGATTTTTTTTTGTTCTTATTTCTGACATACCCTGTAAAGAATCTGACAAATTAGTAGTTGGTTCAAAATCCATTGTGAGTTGGTTTTAATCAGCTTCATAAATTAGATAAAGTATCAGCTTGCAATAAATACCTTTTCGATAATGATTCCATTTCCCATTGAAAAAAATGTGGCCTTTTGACAGTACGACGCCATTTTAGAAAATTTTCAAAATTGGTTTAAGTCAAAAAGTAGTACCCTTGTCTCTGGTATACCAGAGACTATTGTACCTATATATTTAATGCCTTGTTTAACATACTAAAATTTCAATTTCCAAATACAGAGGTTCAAAAAATAAAACTATAATAAATAATACAACC